TTTATATACTCTAAAGGCTGGAAAGAGACTGGCAGAGGTGAATTTGGTTTTATCTGATCACTGGTATTTAGCTAAAGTCAGTCGACTGTTCCAAACATCTCTACAAATGGTTTCCTTTGCTGTGCAGAAGCTCTAAGTTAACTAGGTCCCATTTGTTTATTTTTGCTTTTGTTTCATTTGCTTTAGGAGAAAGGTCCAAAAGAACACTGCTATGACTTACGTCAAAGAGTATTTCACCTATGTTTTCTTCTAGGCGCTTACAGTTTCCGGTTTTACATTTGACTGTTTAATCCATTTTGAGTTTATTTTCATATATGGAGTTAGAAAATACTCAAATTTCATTATTTTACATGTAGCTGTCCAGTTTTCCCAGCATCACTTATTGAGGAGACTGTCTTTTCTCCATTGTGTATGTTCTTGCCTCCTTCATTGTAGATTAACTGACTGTAAGTGTGTGACTTTATTTCTGGGCTCTGTATTCTGCCCCATTGATCTGTCTGTTTTTGTGCTGTTTCTGTTTTGTTATAGTCTTTAGATCCCACATATAAGTGATATCATACAGTATTTATCTTTCTCTGACTTATTTCACTAAGCATAATACCCTCCAAGTCCATCCATGATGTTAACAAATGACAAAATTTCATTCTTTTTTATTGCTGTGTAGTATTTCCCCATATATATATATACTACATCTTTATCCATTCATCTGCTGATGGATATTTAGGTTGTTTCTGTATCCTGGCTATTGTAAATAATGCTGCTGTTAACATTGGGGTGCATGTATCTTTTCAAATTAATGTTTTCATTTTCTTTGGATATATACCCAGGAGTGGAATTACTGGATCATATGGTAGTTTTGTTTTTAGTTTTTTGAGTGCTTCCATATTGTCTTCCACGATGGCTGTACCAATTTACATTCCCACCAATGTTGTAGGAAAGTTCCCTTTTCTCCACATCCTAGCCAGCATTTGTTATTTGTGGCTTTTTTCATGATAATCATTCTGACAGGTGTGAGACTGGTTTTGATTTGCAAAACCACCAACACTGTGGTTTGGGTTTGCATTTCTCTGATGATTAGTGGTGTTGAGCATCTCTTCATGTGCCTGTTGGCCATCTGTTATGTCAACTTTATTCTCTATCTTTCTTTTGTGCATTCCTTTACATACACAGTTGTATGTGTGTCTCATATTTACATCGGTAGAAGTGATTTGCCCTTACTCTTCTGCCTCTCTTGGAATGAAGTAATCACTCCAAGCAGATTGTTAAACTCTCAACCACAAATTGTTTTCCCAAAGTTTAGCTGTCAGTCAGTTCTCTGGAATTTTGAACCACGTGGACGGTTCAGTGAATGATTATAGAACTAACTCACAGAAGTGCCTGAAGACTGTGATATGCCTAAGGAGTACTTTTTTCAACCCTACTTACAAAGGATTTTTTTTTTTCCTGCCAGAAATTTGCTTTTCTTTGGAGGGAAAAATCAGCTACATGTTCTTCCTGGTTCTACCACTTATAAGCCCTGTGCCCCCAGGCAGCCACTTTCTTTTCAGGGCTTCCATTTTCTCATCAGAGGAATGTTTGTCATCTCTAAAGTTCCTTCCCAAAGGCTCACCATCCTCTGATTTATCTCATTGCCTCCTTAGCATCTAAGGTCGGGGTTTCCCTGGGGCATGGTGATGGGTTAAAGCCATGATGCATGGGCACAAGTGAAGGTGCCTCCCCAGGTCACCTGCAAGTGTCCTAAATTAAGGCCAAAGGTCAGTTGGCAACAACACTGTCTGTGGTGGGGGAGGATCCCCAGCACTGAACTCCCTTCACCTTTTTACTGGGAGCATACTTCATTTGTTAAATGTCTCAGATCTACCTGCCTGGGCCTGATATTTACTGTTTATAGTGATTCACTTGAAAAATCTGTGTTCAGCACTCCCTTCGCCACTCCCTCTCTTCCATGCACAAAATGTACCTGTAAGGACTATGCCAAGCCAGCCAGCTGGTGTTTCAGGACGGGTCAGCTCTGAGAGACAGTTTCTCTACCAAGTATTTTCCTTTCCTTTCAGAATGTGAACAGACATCGTGAAGACTTTCAGAGACAGCGCAGTCTCTTTTTAGGTTTCCTTCTGTTTAAGGACTGTCCACGTGCCCCACTTGAATCTGAGGCCAGGCACGTGTCAGCAGCCCTAGAGTCCTGAACACAGGATATTCAGCAAGGACAAGTTCTGAATGAGCTGCAGCCTCGCTGCTTAAGAGATATCATTTCCCTTCTTTACTTTTCCGAATCTCTTTTTTCCCTTTGTCTTCACACAGTACCACCTCATTCTGGGGGACAGAAAAGGCAGTGCCCTGAACAGATTTCCCTGTGCACTAACTCTTCCCTCTTCCAAAAAAGAAAATCCTGGGATAACGCTCCACCCTCTCCCAGAGAATCCTCGTCAACGCTGGTCATTCCCTCTTTTATTAGTATTGAATCGGGATTCGGTAAAACAGAAAAAAAGGCAGGAACAATGCAGGGGGAGGTGGTGGGAAAAAAAAAAAGGGGGGGATGGAAACAGTGGAGTCTGTGCTCTATGTGGCTGTGGGAAGCAGACAGCAGCATGATGCTACCTAGGTCTCCTGTACCCTGGCCAGGTGGTAGGGTTTCTAGCAGAATCACAGATCTCAGGATACCCTGGGGTCCGCATGACCCATGGAAGTACTCTAGCTTTGGGGATGGGGCGGGATTCTGGCCAGAGGAAAGGAGATCTAGGTAGCATTCATGATGCCTGGATTCTGCTTTGGATCTGGACTGTTCCCAAGCCAGAGATCTTTCCCCTCACATCCTCTCGGGAACATGGCTGTTTGGGCTTCCTCTTGGGATTACTAAAGCACTGGGGACTCCTGTAAGGGCATCTAAAGCAAGAGTCACAGAATGAGTGAAACTGTAAAGTGGCTCTGATTTCCAGAACCCTCCAGGCTTATATGGAGGGGACCATTTCCCAATTGCCAAGCAAAACCGGTTTGGAGTTGCAAAAACACAGCCGCTGTTGCTTTCCACTGACCTGTGGCCCAGAGTGGCATGGGACATGTGACAGTCAATGCCTGGCTCAGACCACTGTGCTGAGTGACCCCTGAAAAGACAGAAAGAAAGCTCTAGTATTCAAAACTGAGTCTCGTAGGAGGATTTCTCAGGTCCATATGTCTTCTAGCTTTTTTTCAGCTCTGAGATTGATGACTTCAAGTCAGCACCACTTTCAAAACTTGTTACTACAACTAGAGTGACCGCTCCAAAGGGGCAGGTAGAAAAGGCCAGGGTTCAAAACCTAGCTTTGCCTCCTGCTGGATGTATGCCCTCAAGCAAGTTTTTACACCTCTCTGAGCTGCAGTTACCTCAGCTGTAAAATGAGAATAAAGACAGGCTTGAACTTACAGAGATATTACCAGTTACAAAGGATGGTGTAAAGCACTTGGCACATACTGATCTTAGTAATTAGTAATTGGTTCTTCTCTCTCCTAACCTCTGCAAGTAAAGTTCCCTTCATTTATATATTGAAACCACACAATTACCTAGTTTCTAAGGAAAAAGGAGACAGACAG